TCTATGCCATAATTTTTTTGAGCAGTGTATATATATATATATATATATATATGGGCTATTCCACGTGAAACGGATCAGTCATCTCTCAGAAATTTTTTTAATTTATATTGATATATATATATATATATACATATATATATATATCAATATACCATAATATTCACTGCATAAATGTGTGTAGGCAATAACAAAATCCTTATTTCTATGAATTTTCTTGGCAAATAAACATTGCAACACTGTAATAAGGCTAGTAAGTCCCATGGCAACGCCGAATGCAGCGCGCGGCGTATCGCGGCGTTTTGCGAATAATCATTATTTTTAACAATGTTCCACCACTCCGATCGATTTGAAAAAAATATGTGTTAAAGTAGAAAATCTAGAGATGTTTTTGTGAAAATATAAAAGTGGTCACTCAAAAACATCACAAAAAAAAATTCATAAAAAATTTAAAAAATTTTTTATCAATTTTATTTTTATCATAAAAATTACAAAAAAATTTCTTAAACTTACCTAAACAATGTTCACAACATAAATTTTTTTCTTCATTATAATCGGTTCAGCCGTTTTCGAGAAAAATCACTTTTTTTATTTTGCTTTCCCTCTCCATAACTCCCAACAAAATGCAATTTTAAGGCTAATTTTTTAGAAAGTTTTATATCTCAGGGATGCCAACTAATGACACCAATTTGAGCTCGATTGGTGTGGGGGCAGATTTTGATGCTTATTCCGCTATGTCCTTTCATAATATGGTTACAGCTTTTGTTATATATATTACATATATGATATCGTTTTTTTTTAAATTAAATTTAAGATTATTTAAAGATTATAATTTTAGGATTTATAATTTACTGATATTTGAAATTACAAGGCTTAATTATTACGATTGGAAGTTATAGTTTGAGATTTAGAATTTACGAATAAAATTACAATTGAAACTTTTTATAAATTATATTACAATTGGAAGTTTCCAAATTTATAAACGGGCGAGTGGATGAGTGTATGTGCATGTGTACGTGAAAATTCGCGGATGTTACATAGTTATGATCTTATTAAATGTTGTTTATCTATTCTGCGAGCTTCTCTAGCAAAAGAGTTAAAGAGGGGAAGAAATTAAGGAAAAAAGTTACTAGGATTATATATAAGAAAGGAGAGACATGAAAATAGGGAATAGAGTCATTAGGAGCGAGCCTAATAACCACAGATTGGATCTCATTGATGTCAAAATCATCCGGATCGGTCGTGTACGTTCCGAGAGGGAAGAATTGCTGGGGAAATTGAGAAATGAAAGATTTAAACAAATCGTGTTCCCCGTAATAATAACAAAAAGAAATAATAATTTATTTCTACAAAAACGTTATCCGGTAAAGGACGCTGCAGCGTCTCTGTCAGTACAAACGTCTCTTGATCGTCATATAGCTAAAAAATATACTTGGCAAGAGCTGCTACCGCATCTCCTGATATCGGGAAGGATATCTCCTCGAGAAACTCCACACTTGCCATAGAGTTTGTTGAAGAAAAAGCCCGTATTTCAGAGTTCTCAGAACCTAATTTTACGGTTAAAATGAGACAAGCGGGAGAAGAGACGCGAAGTTCCTCTGGAAGAGGACTTACGAGTAAATCAGATATGGAAGGAAATGAGAGTGCCGGTGACAGGGTTTGCAAAAGAGTTTTCGGAAATATCCAATATGTCAAGACAGAAGAAACAAAGGAAGAGGAAGGGGGGACTTGTTTGAATCCCGGGGAAGGAGCAGGGGAAGTTAGGAGGCGCTGATGAAGATGAACCTGAAGAGTCCGCGAGCTCCAGATTCTCCGCTGAACGCTCCAAACTGTCTAGCCATTCCCGGTAGGCCTCATCTAAAATCCTGCAAGCCTCTCTATTCCGACGATGTCGAAGTCTCTTTGCGGCGCATCAGGATCGAGCAACAGTAAGAATCGGTCTGTCACTCACTGAGGCCGAGAAGAACTAGAGAAAGAAATTTCAAAAAGAAATCTTGAAATCACCAAGCATCTCGATGAATTCATTACCGGAAAAAAAGAAAGAAATTTACTTCAGTTGATTCGGATCTTGAGTGCTGGTGGTTAATCCGGGGTGATGATACTGGGCCTTTGTCTGGCTGATGATGTTCAGCTTGATGATTCACAAGACATTATACTGAACTCGCGAACTTGGATGTTGACTATTACTGACTTCAATAAGCTCAAACAGCTTATAATTACGTGCAGAGCACTATGCAGAAGGATTACGACGAGAAGTCTCGCGATGTCGCGGTTTATAGGAAATTTCACGTGATGTAGAATGTGTCAACTTGAAGGAGTTGAGATTTGATTGACAGAGTCTCTTGGACGAGGTACTCTTAGTTTCTCTAATTTCAGTTATTCAATACGACCAATACTATTAGAGGATTTAACTTAAATTCACTCTGTCCGTCTTACAATTGCTAAATTTTACAATTATTCATTCATCTTTGATGGTTTATCAATTTAAATATCACACCCTTAGTTATTGAATTGTTACCCTTACCACTACAAAGGACCACCCACTAATCTTATGGAAAAGTGACCGCCGTCAAAATAACCTGTGTGAAAGTATACTTTATGAGGTACTGATCAAAAGTCTCAATGGCGTCAATCTCCTAAAAACCGCTAGTTTTTACACTGTCAGCTCATAAAAACTGCTTGAAATTACTTTATTTTAGAAAATTAAAAAAGTACGTTTTCTTGGACTCTCTCTCTCTCTCTCTCTGACTTTCTCTCTTTCTTTTTCTCTCTTATCTTCCTCCCTTGACAATTGTCAGATTGTCAAAATACACTTACACAATCATTTGCGAGAATATTGTTAATTAATTACAATCGGCGCGTGAACTCAGAACAATAATTGCAAAATACTTTAGATCTTTTTAGAGCCTATTTTAGGTTACTACTGTACATGCAAAACCGGAGCAAGATTGTTAGGAACTTGTGCACATATTGCGAGCGTCATTTGGTACCTAGGATATGCACGTCATCAACCAAATATTTAGTACCCAAATGATGCTTTATTGCATATTATTGACGCTGGTAATAGAGATTAGTGAATTAAAAAGAAAAAAACAATTAAAAAAAGAACAAAAAGTAAAAGTACAAAAAAACAAAAAAGTGTAAAAATAGTATTAAAAAAAAGAGATCGTACACTCACCACCTCCGCGTTTGGTTGATCTTGGGTAGTGCTGAGAGTGAGTAATGTAATTACAATTAATTACATGCATTAAATAATACAGAAGTCTATGAAGTTATAAGTATATTTCAATATAAGTGCGAGAAGCATGACTTTATCAATGAGTGTGGTATCATTACTCGAGTCGAAAAAGATGCTTTGCACAACTAACGAAAGATATTTTATTGCAGCAAATGCATTGTGGCTTGTCACTAGTGTGAAAAAGACTCACTTTTCGTACGGTCAACAAGCACGATAAACAACATTTTTGTGCATGTATTATACATAAATACGTATACAAAAATATAATTATTGTTGGCCGGAATCTCAATTACGAAGTTTTCCGTATTACTTTCATTTTACATATAATATAGGAGACTTCTACTTATTGGGATATGTACCAAATATAGCACTTTCAATATGACAGAGAATGAGTGAGTGAGTGAGTGAGTGAGACAGAGAGAGAGAGAGAGAGAAGAGAGCAGAAAGCGTACTTTTATGATTCTCTAAAATAAAGTGATTTTAAGCAGTTATTATAAGCTGACAATGTAAAAACTAGCGGTTTTAGAAGGTTGACACCATTGAGACTTTTGATAAATATCTCATAAAGTATACTTTCGCACAGATTATTTCTGTTTTGACGGCGGCCACTTTTCCATAAGATTAATGCGTGGTCCTGTTCGATTGGTAATCCATTGGCGAGTTCAGTTCAACTATTAGAGTTTTGGAGGTATATAGTTCGTTTCTTCAAAAACAATGTTTGCTGATTTCTATTAATCGTCATCGATTTCTCTTTTATTGGTCAAACGTGAGATTTTTTGGCTCAATTCGAGGCGTAGCAGTTGAAAACAGATAAATCATACTTTTATTATTCTATTCTTAGGCTGAAAGGATATCTCGTGCCCGCGACTCTAACTCCAATTTTTCTGGACATATATTATGACTTTGTCATGACTTTATCCCCTATATGTATGGACAGTGTTTACTTATTAGTTTTCTCTGTGGAAATTTGGAGTCTTTGACACGTTTTGAAATCGAATTTTATTGTATTGAATATACGCGGTAGTAGATAAATCAATGTTTTTTAGGCTGAAAAAATATATTGTACCTTAATAAAACTTTATGGCTCCGTCATGACTCCAGCCAATATGTCTGGGCAGTATTTACTTGTTAATTTTTTCTGAAAATTTGGAATCTTGGGCACGTTTTGAAATCAAATTTTATTGCCGCAAAATGTACGTGGCAAAATACAGTTTATCTCTTTTCCGTAGAAAGATTTCTCACTTTCGATGATGTAATATTTGTTTAAAATAATTTTTCCGACAAAACTGATAACGGTAATTTGTCCGCCAATTGATGACCATTAATATTTTTCTATTCTAAGAGCTTACTCGGACGCACGTTCGCGAAACGGAGAAATCGTGCAGTTCATCGGACGAAACAACATATTGCATATTAAAATACTTTACAATAGCATTTTTCTTCTATTTTAATTGCAAAATTTTCAAAATTATGACGTGTAAAGCAATTTTTGGTAAACGAGATTGTTAAACAATATTCAACAGCTAAAAAACTAAAGAAATTATTATTTTCGTTCTCTTGTGCATTTTTTGTGAAGTTTTAATATTTTTACATTTGCTTTAAATCAAAATAAGAACAAATAAATTTATTTTATCTAGTTTACTAAATATCTAATTTACCTATAGTTCTTTATGCTTCTTTATTTAGCAATTAAATCAATACTCGAAGACTTTTATTTATTAAGATCAATTTTTTCTAGGGGTTTTGTCCTCTGATGGTTATTGTAAACCTTTTGACGAGGAAGGTACCGGTTATATGCGCAGCGATACAATTGCAGTAGTATATTTGCAAAAAGCAAAAGACGCCAAGAGAGCATATGCAACCTTCATACATGGAAAAACAAATTGTGATGGCTTTAAAGAAGAAGGTATTACCTTTCCATCGTTTGAAAAACAAAAAATGTTGTTGGAAGAATTTTATGAGGAATGTGGAATTTTACCCGATGAATTATCCTACATGGAGGCTCATGCAACTGGTACCCTTATCGGTGATCCTGTGGAAATTATGTCCATTGATCATGCTATTTGTGCTAAAAGAAACGCTCCTTTATTAGCGGGTTCGGTAAAATCAAATTTAGGACATTCCGAACCTGCCAGTGGCCTCTGTCAAATTGCAAAGGTATATTAAAATTTAACATTAAGTTTGCTTAGGTTTTGTATTTACATTTATATATGTGACAATTTATATTTTCTTACATTGTTATTAATTACAATATACAAGGTGTTTACAAAAAAGCATTCAGCATTTACATGATAGATAATACATACCATATTGACAAGTAATGTTTCTCATTAAACTGCTTTTAATTTGGCTCAAGTAGTTTCTACTTAGTATTTACAATGTAAAAACACGTAAAAAAGAAATTATGTGTTGAATGAACCAAAGTTATGGTGAATCGTATTTTTTCAATAAAAATCGAAAAGCTGTAAATTCTCATACAATTAAGTAAACACCACCAAAAAAATAATTTTTTATTAAATATATAGTATTTCATACAAATTTTATACCAAATAATGGATAAGTAAAAAATAAAATTTTATTTTATTTTATTTTCAAAACATACATCAATTTTATGTCTTTTACAAAGTCAATAAGCAATAGTTAATACATTAAGGAATCCATTGAACGTAAAAATTCAAAAAAATTTTAATAATGTCCTTTTTTACAATTGACTTTGTGGAAAACAGAAAATTGATATAGGGTTTGAAAATAAAATAAAAATATCTAATAAATATATGATTGATAATACGTTTTGCGCAAACATAAAAACACGCTAGATTGCTTATTGCGATGAATGTTATCACATGCCTCGGTGGTCTTAAGGCAGAACGGCCCATCCGGCAAACGTGGAGATCTGGGTTCGTTTCTTGGCTGAGAACATAAGATGATATTTTTTTACAATAATTTCTTTACAGATTCGGTGAGAATGGTTCGTATAGATGTAATTTAGCATTTATTGGACGTTGCAAGGGAGGGAGGTTTTTAAGTATTGGATGCTTTGAGCATCGATTTATTAGATTGCCTTCGGCAATTTAATCGTGATATTACATACTACTCGGTTTGGAGCTGCGGAAAAGCACGCAATTTGCAGTCACGTGGTGTTATATCAACCGAAAATTGTAAGATTCACACTAAAAATTATATGGAAGCACCAATATCCGCTTTGTACCGTGTTGGCGTTTTAAGTTCTCAATTGTTAGTTAACATTTCACGGTTTCTAGATACTTATTACTACTTATTATAAAAATATCTGTTTTACTTATCTATTACTTGGTATAAAATTTCTATAAAATATTAAATAAAAAAGATTGTAACTGTGCATTTCAAAACGCATCCGTCGGGAAGCTGGTCGGAAACTCTCCGCCGTAAACGACCAAATCTATGGATTCGCGTCAGATGCGTCTTTTATTTTTATCTTATTTTTTGTTAAGTACGTAAGCACTCGTCGGCCCGTGTCGGGTAAGCGTTGCCGCGACAAGCACGCGACCCGGCGAAAACTGCCGAAGAATGCCGAAATTAACCCAGTACCAAGCAGCTTATTAATACAATACTGTAACAGTATAATTATTGTAAAATCGAGATTTGATTAGAATTATTATACGTCACCGAGTGAAAACGCTACGTTCAGGATATGATCCTGATGATTATATAATAAAAAGGCAAAAATCGACAAGCAAGTTCAGATCAGATCTCTCTAAACGAGCTTACTGCGAATTTATCGTCAAACTCCGCCACACTTTTCAATCCCAAGTTCCTGAATCTCTGTGAGACGACGAGAAAAGGAGGTAAGGAGCTATTTGCTTCCGCCGATTGTTTCCGATAGTCGTACAGAGTTCGACAAATTATTATTCGTTTGTTGAACAATGTAAGGCGTTACCTACCCTTGCCGAGAGCTACCAGATAGCAACTTATCTAAAAATCATGTACGAGACTAATACATTCGTACCGGTCTTAGCGAAGATAGGGCACTACCTGTCTTTGCTGGGAGCTACTGGTCAAAGCTTGTACACTTCGTGCTGGAGAAAGACGCGACAATTTTACATTCAAAATTCAATCCTTCGAACCACCTTATAACTGTGAGTTCGGAACTTAAATCGTGCCGCATCGTCATTGCGCTCCACGCCCTGCGCCGTAAACATCACGGATAAAACACTTACATGTACGTGGTCTTTAAACCGGCCTTTTAAATCTTGCATCTAGCGAAAATACATTAAATCTCTCTTACATATTTATAGCCATCTTTTCGATGAACTTTTTTTCTGATTTTCCTATCATCTTAATTTCTTGTCTATTTATAATAAATTATTAACTGATCGGATTTATGTGACTCTGGATCTGTTATTTTGTTCCTTGGTTTCAACTGACAAGGGACTTACACAAGCTGTACAGCTACAGTGTAGAGACAATTATCCAAGTATCTTGACTCCATTTGGATCATTTTCCACCGAAAAACTAGATCGGAAATAAAATAAATATAAATAGTAAAACAAATTTTATTTTCTTTTATTTATTTTATTATTTATATTTATTTTATTTCTGGTCTAGTTTTTAGGTCGAAAGTGATCCAAAGGGAGTCAAAATGCTTGGATAATTTTCTCTATGCTGCTATTGTGCACTTTGTGTGGATTCCTTGTGTGTTTATATTGGCACGCCCAAAAATTTACAGGTCGTTTCAAGATTTTTAATAAGATTTTTGGTGGCCTTCAATCTATGGCATATATAAGGATTTACAGATTTTTCGATTTTTACTGAAAAAATACGATTCACCATAACTTTGGTTCATTCAGCACATAATTCCTTTTCTACGTGTTTCTACTAAATAAATATAAATACTAAATAAAAAACACTACAAATTGAAGGCGGTCCAATGAGAAACGTTACTTGTGAGTAAAAAACTTTAGTAAACATAAGTCGAAGATTCAATAGTTTCTGAAATATACAATTTTATACTCTAGTATTACAATTTCTACGTATCGCATGCGACGTGAAGATTTACCTTAGTGTTACTCGTAAACACCTTGTATAGGACATTATCAATTATAAATACTGTTACTGTTAAAAAGGAATAATTTCTTAAAGGTGTTATTAGCAATGGAAACTGGTGTAATTACGCCTACTATACACTTCAAACGTCCACGAAAAAAATTAACTGCTATTATTGAAGGAAGAATAAAGATTGTTACTGAACCAACAGAATGGGAAGGTGGTTATGTAGGTGTTAATTCCTTTGGATTTGGTGGAGCTAATGGACATATATTACTAAAATCAAATTCTAAACAAAAAATTAATAATGGAGTACCGAGTGACAATTTACCTAGGCTTGTAGCAGTATCCGGACGTACAGCGGAAGCAGTTCAAATTATTTTAGATGACGTAAGTTAAATATTGTAATAACGTATTTCATTTATTTTAAAAATAATTTCATTTTTACGATTAACATTTATTTTTTCTAATGTGGTAAAATAAAACGTTACAAACTAGACTTTTTTTAAAAAAACATAAAAAACGGTTGTCAAGTGTAAGGACACTCCTTGAAAAAAAAACTTGTATCCAAATATAATTAAATATAATTTTTTAAACGATAAACCTAAATAAATAATGGTATCCTTCTTTGTACTTTAATGTTAACTAACTTTACTTCAGTGATATGTATATTACTATTACCTGTATAAATGACTAGATATCAGTAAATGGCGCCAAGTTAATCTTTTGAAGCATACATTTTTTCTTACCTACGATTGACTTGAAAATTCTCGGGTACTCAGGAGTTTTCGAGGTTGCTGATTACAAATCTGAGATCAAAATTTAGAAATTTAAAATGGCGGATTCAATATGGCGGACCCGAATTAAAAAAAACAATAAAAATTTTGAAAATGTACCTGGGAGTTCTCGGAGTCGCTGATTATGAAACCGTGATCAGATTCCCGAAATTCAAGATGGCGGATCCAATATAGCGAAACTCAAATTTGAAAAACGATGCAAATGCCATGAAAATGTATTTCTGCGGATTCTCGGGGTCGCTGATTACGAATTCGTAATCAGATTCCCAAAATTTAAGATGGATCTAATATACACTGGTCCAAAAAATTAAAGGATCACCTGTTCTAGCCTCTAAAAATAGGCAAACTTC